AGCTTTTTCTTAGTGAGTAACACAGTTTTTTTTAATAACAGAAGTTTTTAAGAGCCAGATACTTGAACTTGAGGCATCTGTTTGGGGAAAGAGTTAAAGTTATCTTGAGGCATTAACTCTTTTGCTTCTGAAGGCCATTGGTCTCTTATGTTAGCCTTTTAATAAACATAACATGAAGAAACATCTAGGCTGCCAGCAATGTTTTCAGCCAACTGAGCAAATAGGCTTTTTCTGTTTTTACTAAAGAAAGAGGTTCTGGTAACTTCTGGTTTATATGTTTAAAGAATGACTGTAAGACCCGGAATTGTTGCTGGGCTGGACAGGTCTGGGTTTCCTAAGTAGTATGTGTAGAGTGGGGACACCTTATATAGGTGTTTCTTCTAGCATGGTTATGGGGGGTAGTAACAACAAAACAATGTACAGCATATTCATATCCAGCAAGGGTAAAAGAGGTCCTTACTTGGGGAAAAGGTTGAACACAGCGACAGAACAATAGGAAAACAGTTAGTATTGTGGGAAAACTATTAAGATTTTTAACTACATTTACTTGCTTCATGAGTCCTCAAGCTTCGGCTGTGCGTAGACTAGTCAGCTGCCAGTGTGTGACTAGAGCAGGGCTTGTTGTCTCCTCGAGCTTCAGCCATGCGTAGACTGGTCAGCCTCCAGTGTGTGACTAGAGCAGGGCTGTTGTCCTCAGCAGCAGCTTGGTCTCATCTCAGGATCAGTCGGGTTGGATGATCTGTGTCCTGCTGGCTGGTCCACTTGTCCTGAGCTGCCAGTGTTAGTTGACTGTGGTGGATCCAAGATACAACACCTGCAACTTTAACAGCAGTGGGAGTGGACAAGGTTACAGTATAGAGCCCATCCTATATGGGTCTTAGAAAAATTAGATTTTACTTTAAACAGAGTCACTAGATTTAAAGGGGTGTCAGGCTTATAGGCATTTCTATTTATTTAATTATGAACACTTTGTATGGCTATTTTTTAAACCTGCATTTGTTTTCTTAAGGTTAATTTCTTTAGTTTCTGGAGGTCACCTTTAATTTGACCTATGATTTGGGGGTGGCCGACCAAACAAAATTTTATAGGGCAAATACCTAGTTTGTTTGGTGGGGGTGCACCTGACTCGGAGGAGGACCATAGGCAAAAACCTGATTTTTATCTTAAACGAGCAAACAAACACTAGCATGTACAATAGTCTCCAGCATAGGGTAGTTCTATAAAGTCTATAAGCAAGTTTTCACAAGGTATGGCTCTTTTTACTGTTTAAGTTGCTTAGAGGAGGGGTTTTTCTCCCCCTCCTCCCCGTAACTCTATTTAGTGGCTTAGCCTTCAGTGAGAAATTGGAATCCAGATACAGCAGAATCTTGCTGCTTTTAACTTCTAATGTGACCATGGGCTCCTGGGAGCCTAAAGAGAAGGTACTTAGTCTGCCCCAGTCTTTATATTTTTCAGCTCCTGTCAGTCTGATCAGAGCAGTATTTGGTTCCTTAAAGGTGCGGCAGCCCTTGGCCAATGGCCTCTTTGTCTTGCGGCCTTGGCCATTTCCTTTATTGCCTTTTTGAACATTTACTCTTCTAGTGTCCTTTCTTTTTGCATCTTGTACATTAATCTCTCTAGCCTTGTCCAGCTCTTGAATCTTTGCCTAACTTGACTTCTTTTACATTTACATCCACGTCCACGTCTTCTCACATGACTAATTTCTCTTTTTTTTTACATTTACTCTTAGTCTTTCTTTTTCTTTTTGCTCTTTCCCAGTTTACTGATGCCCAAGGCTGGTCCCGGAGGTCAGGTCTGCCAGAGTAAACTGAGTCCAACACTTCTACACAATTATGCTTGACAGGGCTCTCTGATACTAGGAGCAAGGTGGTGGGTTCAGGGTGTTACAAACTTCAATAGTTATATGGGGATTTTCACAGAGCAAACTTTGGTACTTGGTGAGTCTAGCATTCATTAACCAATGATGTCCTTTAGTATTCATTAAAGTCACCACAGCATGGGGGGCCTTTGTGTTCAAGTTTTGCCCAAGAGTCAGCTTATCTGCTTCTTGTACTAGCAGGGCAGTTGCTGCCAAGGCCCTCAAACATGGGGGCCATCCTTTAGAAACCCCGTCTAGTTGTTTAGAGAGGTAGGCCACCGGCCTCGGCCAGGGCCCCACAGTTTGGGTTAAAACTCCAACTGCCATCTTTTCTCTCTCTGACACATACAATGTAAAAGGCTTTGTCAGATCGGGTAGCCCCAAGGCTGGGGCTGACAGAAGTTTTTCCTTTAACTCATGAAAGGCTTGCTGTTGTTGGGATCCCCATTCAAAAGTTCCCAGTCCGCCCCTTTGTGACCTCATACAAAGGCTTGGCTAATATTGCAAAGTTTGGGATCCACAGTCTGCAAAATCCCACGGCTCCTAAGAATTTTCTCACCTGCCTTCTGCTCTTAGGCTCCGGTAGATTGTAAATGACCTGCTTTCTTTCTGATCCCAGGCTGCACTCCCCCTGTCGGATAGTAAATCCCAGGTGACGTACCTGCTGTCAGCAGATCTTAGCTTTTTT